CGTACAGATACAGGAGATCATCTCGATAGAAACCGAGATATTTTAACAGCTCTTTTAAAAACCAATTTAAAAATTCGAATGCATCCAAATTGTAATTGTAGCAAATTGTATAGTTTGTGGAAGTAATACATCGAGGTCGTAAATTAAAGCATCGAGACAACTGAATCGAACCTAAAGCATACTAACTAATACGACCTTGACTCAGGTTTCAGGCTCTTATCTCCTCCTATTTCTTCGACTCCCTCGTCGATATGTTCGAACACGTAAACTTCGACCCGATCTTACGACCTCGGCAATATATCTCTTCCACCGACTATACCTGTACCGACGTTGATTCAAGGCCAAAGAGTTGTGTATACACATGGTCGCGTGTTACACGTGACCGTTACTATTCCACGATAATATCGTATACGATACGAGGCTCGCTATTCGATTAATCCGATCGATTCACCGTTTTTTGATCTACCGATGCGATTCGTTTGAACGACGAGCAACAACAGTCTCTCTCTGTCGCTATTTCGAGTGTTATACGGGTTAGAGGGAGAGAGCGAATACTCGTAACGTATATACGTGCAAGGCTCGGTCTGGGATGGTGAGTGCACGCGATGGGGGTGCACGACTGATTTTCCTAACGTACGTTATTAATGAGCCGCGCGCGCGGTCAGCTGTGCACAGTCCATATGGGGTTGCCAGGCACCCCCGTTCCCTTTCTCTTCCGCATCCAACCCTCGGTCATCAGCTTTTGTTCACCGCCTCGCTCGCGTACGACCTTCGTGCGTTGTTCGCGTCGCGCGCATGGGGGTATCAGCTGTGCTCACAATCGTTGCGTCTCCATGAAAAACGGCCCTACGGATGGCACTACTGTCGGGGAGGGTCGATCGGTATTTAAAATCAGGATCACTACCCGCATGCATGGGGTGTCCTATCGTGCTATTTAAATTGCACGCCGCGCATTCGTATATACGTGTTTCGAGTTGTTTTTTCGCCTGGTGAATATTCGCCTTAAGGGTTGCAACGTTTCTTTGTATACTCGGTGGAGTGTTCAGCTCGTTTTACGAAATTGTTTCGCTTGAATTAATTACACGGTTCAATGTATCCAGAGTATTTTTCAACGAATAATCGAAGATTCAAGGCTTTCACGACGCGGAGCGTAATTATTCGGGTTTAAGCCGCGTCCTCGTTGAAAACGTATTCTTCGTGGAACTCCGTAAGCATACGGCTTACACCCGAAAGCCTCGACAATAACAACAAACGTGACGAATCGACGGAAGCGTCGGCTGTTATTAATTACTATATTTCGGCGTTAAAAGGCACAGAAGAAAGGGAGAAGATTAGAAAGGGTAGCCTTAGCACAGCTGTCTCTCTATCGATCTCCATAATGTTCGTCGCGTGGCAATGTCATTGAGCTTTCCGGGGGTGCTAGACGGGGAAATTGAACAGATGCGTGGAATTTTCCCGTGGAAATTCGCCAAATGTTTCGTGAAAGAGGAGGGCGTCTAAGAGGGGGGAGATTCTAGTGGTTGGTACTAACGCGGGGCCCTAAGCACCACGTGACTCACGATTAATGCGACTATCGGAGCCTTTATAGCATAGACCGTTTTTGCGTGTGCTTCCTGTATCGTGACTCACGAGAGGTTGGCAAACAACTCGCTACAAAATTGCACGCGTCTTATTTTCTAAACTCTTTCGCTCACGTCCGCGTCCTTCTCTTATCGCGCCGCTGCGTTATTCTAGCGTACACTCCGCGCGGCCGGTTTCCCTTAACGAACTGTGTGTGCGCGCGCGCGCGCGAGAAGATTCGCGTATATCTAATCTAGCGGCGATATAATTAACAGGCACGGTGCGTGGATATTATACACGCGAGGTTATCGTCGAGAACCGTGGCTTCGAGTACGTGCATTGGTCAAGATTAGATCGTGCACGAGGTCAAATTTTATATTGCACGCGATTAGAAGCGTCCTGATTTAAATGTACACCAACTCCTCCGGGCACAGCTGTGCTTTCTCTCTGTACACGCGTTTTAATTACCCGCGTATCGCGCGTTACTTTCTGCTTGAAATCTTTCCCGATAAGGAATTTTCACGAATCCGACAAAATCAACTTTCTCTCCGTGTGCATATGTATACGTATATCATGTTCGGTTTGTGTTGTGTTTTCAGACTTCATGAAGAGTCGTAAACGTAGCCTAAACGGTAGCGCGAAGAGCATGATAGAGCCGCCAGAGAAGATCGCCCGCAACGCGGGTCAGATACGCAGCTAAGAGCCTTCCCAGCTTCCTCCTTCAGCCTCGCTGTCTTCCTCCGTCACGTTGGGAGAGCGCGAGTGGGACCGGAAACACGAAGCATTTGCTGCCAGGACGAACGGGAAAGTCAGAAGCTCTCTGGCAGGAGGCGCGAGGTCCGTTGGCTGTGCCATTCACGTAGATTTATCCGCCATGAATGTGGGCGAAAATGGTGGGGAAAAGAAAAGAAAAAATAATACGGATATGGTGTGCGACGTTCGCGTTTTTTTCTTTCTTTTTCTTCGTTGCGTATACATGTATACCTATTTCGGTAGCCATGCCACGGAAAATTCACAGAGATTTAGTAACAACAACAACGAACGGAATTTAAGCAATGGGGACGAACAATATATCGCGATGAACAATGAATTCATATATTCCATCGTTGTTGCTATTTTCTTCTTGATTTTTTTTTCTCTTTTTTCTTCTTTTTTTTATATGTCATCATCGTGTCGTTATCTTCTTTTGCAGTAGGCTAGGACAAAGTAACCATTATATAGATATATATAACGAGAGAGAGAGGGGGGAGAGAGAGAGAGAGAGAGAATAGAATGAATGAAAGTGAGAGTGAGCAAGGATTTCACGAAATTAATTAATGTAATATATTGTTCGTTTAATTCTTAACAAATGAAACGAGGTTGGATGAGTGATGATTATGATGATGATGATGATGAGGTCGTTGCACACTTTATAAGAGAGTGTAAGGAGACAAAAAATATATATATAAATATTTCTTAGGATACGCCTAGGTTTTTAGTGGTTTAAGTAAGATTTATGTATTAAGTGAAAGTACATTGCGTTTCTATTCGAAAAACCCACGCAGATATAAAGGCCGACTCGAGAGGAGAGCCTGGTCCACCTGGAATCTTTCCGGAGTCAGAGGCTGTTTTT